CAGATAAGGGAATTTTGAATAAGGCCTTTTTCAGTGTCCCGTGGTCTGCAAGGGCTTTTAATTTAAAATAGTGTACTGGAGTGAAATTCTCTTTGTGATGAAATTCTCTGGGCTCCTTCATTTTATTCTGGTTTTGGTTGTATAGGGCTTGAAGCACCCTGTGTGAGTGCTGGTGGCTATTTTCATGTTGACTTATACCTCTTCTTCCTGCGTAATTCTTGGCTGTAGCCATTTGTATGTTTAAATGGGATATCTTTTTTTAAATCTACCTGGCAAACTTCAATTGTCTTTTAAGTCTTAGCTCCAGTGTATCCAGCAGAATAGGTCATTCATGACAACTCTGCCCAAAGCTATTAGGTAACCTCCTCCTACCGCTTTGTATTAACATTGTATTATAATTATGTTTTTCGTTTTTAGACTGAATTCTTTAAAGGGAAGTGCTTGATTTATTCATCCCTGAGTTCAGTGCTTAGGATAGTACCTGTGACTTACTAAGCACATAGTACATATTTAAATGAATTTATTGAAAGGTCTAAACATCTTAGTAAGATGTGACTCCATAAAAACTGCATTAATAATGAGAGTTCAAATATAGGGAAAAATAGAGTAATACAAAGAATAGGTTCACTAGTTAATTTTTTTTTTTTTTTAGAAAGAGTGAGAGAGAGAGAATTTTTTAATATTCATTTTTTAGTTTTTGGCGGACACACATCTTTGTTTGTATGTGGTGCTGAGGATCGAACCCGGGTCGCACGCATGCCAGGCGAGCGTTCTACCGCTTGAGCCACATCCCCAGCCCACTAGTTAATTTTTTGCAATATTTACTTTGTTACTTTTGAATATATGCATGGTTTTTATTATTGCTGAATCCTTCAAGAGGAAATAGCATACCTAATGTCCCTTTGCTCCTAACTACTTTTAAGAACAAGGAATTCTCTTGGGGTAATGGCCCTGTAATTTATCAAATTCAGGAATCTAACATCGATATGGTACTGTTATGTAATGGACACTTCATATTCAAATCCACTAATTACTCATTTTGATCCTTTAAAAGTTTCCACTCTCTCACCCATCCAGGATCCTACTTAGGTTCATTTATTACATTTGCATTTAATTGATTTATCTCTTCAGTTTCCTTTAATCTGAAGTAGTGCCTTAGTCTTCCTTCTGTACAGTTTTTTTAAATTAATGATGTATTCAGTTAGATAGTATTTATAACACAAAGATCACAGAACTCTGCCCACAAAGGATTTTGTATTGCACAGTTTACTTTTAGTTTAGTTTCTAATTATTATACAGCTTTACATGACTAGTTGTGTATAATTATTTCTGATAATTCAAAGGGAACTAAAGAGGCAAACTGGAGCTTCTGGGTACTTGAATAAACAGAGTTTCCTGAAGAATGGCATACCTTCTCCCGTACCTCACTAGATGCATCTCTTCATCTGTATCCTTAATAACAAGCTGGTAAATATATTAAAAAGAAAAATTAAGAACCATAGATGAGGTATTTTTAAAACTGTTTTTGTTTTGAAGCTAAAATACCTGAACTACACTAATGTTAACAGATAAATCATTTTTATATGTGCATATTCTTGTGAAACCACCAGTGGTGCACCACAGAGGAGTCTTTCCTGACCCTTCCCATTCAATACCCACTTATTCCTTACTTCCTGAAGACTCACTGTTTTGACTTCTACATTGCTTGCTCTTAAACTTCATACAGATAGAATTTTGCAGTAGGTACTTGTTTTAGTCACTTTTTTTTGTTGTTGTTGTTGCTGTGACTATAAAATCTGACCAGAACAATTGTAGAGGAGAGTTTATTTAGGGGCTCATGGTTTCAGAGGTCTCAGTCCATAGATAGCTGGCTCCATTCTTTGGGGCTCCAGTTGAGGCAGGATATCATGGCAGAAGAGCATGGCAGCGCAGAAAGAGAATGGCAGATGGAAGTAGCTAACATGATCAGAAAGCAGAGAGAGTCCACTGAACAGGTACAAAATATATACCCCCAAAGCCACATCCCAGTGCCCACCTCCTCCAACCAACCATGGTTACCACTCAGTTAATCCCTATCAGGGGATTAATTCACTGTTTGGGCCAAGACTCTCAAAACCCAATCATTTCTCCTCTGAAATGGGGACAGCTCACATCTAAACCATAACAGTATTTATTTTGTGTTTGACTTCTTCAGCTCAATTTAATTCCAAGAGATCTCCCTGTTGTTGCATGTATTTAGTACTTGCTTCTTTTTATTGTTCTGTGTATTCCAATGTACATATATATCACAGTTCTTTGTTTTATGTATTGCATTGTTTTCAGTTTTTGCTACTATAAATAGAACTGTTGTAGACCTGGGTGCTGTGGCATATGCCTGTAATCTCAGCAGCTCTGGAGGATGAGGCAGGAGGATTATAGGTTTGAGGCCAGCCTTAGCAATTTAACAAGACCCTGTCTCAAAATAAAACAAAAAAGGGCCAAGGATGTATCTCAGTGTTAGGTGCCCCTGAGTATCATCCTCAGTAATCCCCCACCCCCCACAATAAATGCTGTGACATTTATTGTATAACATTGTTATACATGTCCTTTAATGGAAATAAATCCTTATTTCTTTAAGACTGGATTTGCTGAGTCATGGAGAGGCTGCTATTACTAGTTTTCTAAGTGGTTGTACGAATTTACATTCCTAACAGCAATGTAGGAAAATTCTAGTTGTGCTGCATTCTGCCCTATACATCAAATTATCAAATTAAATTTTTTGTAATGGTGTGTAACATTATGGCTTTAATTTGCATTTTCCTGAAGTTTAAGGATATTGAATGCCTTTTCATGTTCTTAATCGTTTGATTGTCTCATTCATTAAGTACCCATCTATGTGGTACCCATTTCTTTAATGACAGGTTTCTTGTCTTCTTGTTATATACAAATTTTTAATATATTCTGAATGTGAGTGTCTTGTAAGTGCCTTCTGGTTTATATTTTCCCTGTTGATTCTCTTAATGGTGTATCATTGATGAAAAGAAACAATTTCATGATCATTAACATGTAAACTCTTAGGTAACTAGCCTTGTTATAAATATAAATAATTTCATGATCATAGACATGTAAACTTTTAGGTAAGCTAGTCTTGTTGTAATTAGAATCCATAAAGATTAATTTATAATGAGTTTTGTTTTGTTGGTGCTGGGAGTTTGACCCCAGAGCCTTGAGCATACCCTCTGACACTCATCTGTTCCCCTAACCCCATCAAAACATTTTTAAGCTCTGTCTCAAGCAATAGATTAGACCTTAATTTCAAAGTAAAGGAAAAAAACCAAAGCATCTGGTTGTTCTTTTGCTCTAATGGAAATGCTCAGACAGCATGCATGAGTCATGAAACAAATCAACATAATTTACTGTTTGCTTACATTGTCTTAAGTGTGTAAATGTTAAAACTTGGGGAAGTGAGAAACAACGAAACCTCTAACACCAAGCCTTTAGAATTTTATGCTGGGAAAGGTATATTGTTTTAATATGTTTGAACTTAAGCAATAAGCTCTACATTAGACTGTTTCTATATTTACCTGCAATGTCAGTGTTACATATAGAGAAACAGTACAAAACAATTTTTTAACATATACTACTTCTGAATCTAGTCTTATTTCTGGAAGTAGTAACTACAAATAATCTTATTTTCTGAATTTTTCTTTGAGATAAATATTTTTAATGGACTGGATGTCTAAAAGCTAAAATTGAAAATTTCATCCAAATTTGTTATTCCTAGGTCTTTACTAAAGGATAGTTTTGAAGTGAGCGTATTCATCGAGTTCTTAAAAAATTAAGAACAAAAGGTATAACATGCTTATGAGTATACAAATGGTTTGGGTGTTGGAGAGTTTAATTGGAAGTCCCAGACCACACATTTCTGATAGAAGTATAGATGTGCCCTTACTGAGGAAAGTAGAAAGAATACACATGACTAATCAGACAAAGGGAAAAGACAAAAGGATTGGATAGAAGTAGCTCTTTCATAACTGTACCTTGAAAAAGAGGCCTGTGCAGGTGTTTAATCTGTCTCTCTGATTTGTTAGGAGGTGTTAAAACTATAGAGAAGAGGAAGAGCTCTGTCATCAAAGATTCACTGTCGTTTCTAACCCCTGAGAATGCACAAGCCCCCCTGTAGATTTTGGAGGTCAAATGGGGAAAGACTTTTTCAGTAATGTGGATGTTAATAAATGGAGACTTAAGGCTAGAATAAAGTAATGATTTTTTATTTTAAACCAAATTACAGTATGTTTATCAGACTAAGCATGACTTCCATCTCTGGTTAAAGGAAAAATGAAAGGTTTAGATGTAACATTAATTCTCGAGATTAATTCCCATTCCCCTGGTTTTTCTTTTTCCTACTCCCTCAGCCTTTGAGGCATAGTCAAGACAAGGCAGTTTTAGAACCATTAATTCAGTTCCTTTTATTTCTTCCCTCTTTCTCTTGTTAGTTACCATGTAGGTAGGTCTTTCCACCTTCCCCAGTATGAGTTCATTTATACTTCTCATGGTTCTTTTCACTTCTTTTGCATTTATGCTATCTCTTCCCCAATACCAGTTATACATGCATACAAATGTGAATGTAGCTTTACCTTTGGAAACTGTTTGTTTAATGAGCTTCTATCACAGTTCAACTTTCATGTTTGAAAAATAGTTGTATTTGTAGCTTGATATGTGTTCAAATTTTTGGACTTTGTAAATAAAATCTATATGTGGTCTCCAGTAGGTATTTTTTACAGATTGAAAGTCATTGATGTATTCTAACATCTGCCTTCATTTAATAGATTAAGAAAGTAATAGATTTTTCCATAATCAGTTTATTAGAGGCAGAGCTAGAACTAGACCTTGAATCTTCTCTCTTTAGTTTTTTCATTTTAATTACCTGGATATTTCTGAATTTTTGTCTTTGAAATAAATTTTGATGAACTAGAGTCATAACAGTTAAAATTGAACATTTCATCCAAATTTATTTCTAGGTCTTTGAAGAAACTGGTTTTGATATCAAAGACTATATTTGTAAGGATGATTACATTGAACTTCGGATCAATGACCAACTTGCTCGTTTGTACATCATTCCAGGAATTCCAAAAGACACTAAATTTAACCCAAAAACCAGAAGAGAAATTCGGGTATGTAACAGTTGAGAATATTTGCATGTTGCTGAACAGTATCCTGTTGAATGATGTGAGAAATTCCTTTTAGAAAGTCATTGATAATAATTAACTAAATGAATTTTTTTTTTTCCTTTCAGAATATTGAGTGGTTCTCCATTGAGAAATTGCCCTGTCATAGAAATGATATGACGCCCAAATCCAAACTTGGCTTGGCACCTAACAAATTTTTTATGGCCATTCCCTTTATCAGGTTTGTTCGTATGTGTTGAAATATAAAACCAATCTTCATGATTCTGATATTTAACATTTTAAAAGTGAAATTTTTAATGTTTCCTTAGACCATTAAGGGACTGGCTTTCTCGAAGATTTGGGGATTCCTCAGATAGTGATAATGGATTTTCCTCTGCTGGTAGCACACCCGCTAAACCCACTGTGGAAAAATTGAGGTAAAGAAATATATTTATGAAATTCATGAGAGTTTGTAGTACAGTAGCATTTTGATTCTAAAGTTTGTAGAGGTGTAAGATTCCTTCTTACAGGTACTATTTTGTTACTGATCTCATCAATAATAGAAGATTTTTAAAGCTTTTTGTTGTTGTAGTTGGACACAATACCTTTATTTTATTTATTTATACTTTTAGGTGGTGCTGAGGATCAGATTCGTATGTGCTAGGCAAGTGCTCTACAGCTGAGCCACAATCCCACCCCTTAAAGCATTTTTGATGAGATGAAAAAGGTTAATTGAAGTTGGAAAGTAGCTTTAGGCACATTTTAAAATGGAACACCCAAGAGGATACCAGCTTTTTAGATGGACAGATGTAACACTAGGAAAAGAAAAAAAAAGTGTGTGTTTATGGTATGTTCATGTTCTACTTTAGAAATGAGTTTCTGAAGATGGTTGAATGGGGGTTATGTTGAGGTCTGTTTTTGTATAGGGAGATCGGGATGCTGATGAATAGATTCAAGGATAGAAATGAGACTTGGGCTTGCTTGCTTTTCTTTTCTTTCTTTTTTTTTTTTTTAAACATCTTTCTTAGCATCAATTATGTATTATTAAGAGAGACTATTACATGGATGTGAACCATGAAGAGTATTTACTTGCTTGTAACTTAATTGCATCCAGATCACAATCATAGTCAATTGGGAGTAACTTGCTTAAATAGGGATATATTTTTGCAATCAACTTGTCATAACTTTGCCTTTGTTAAATTCAGAGGGAGTCAATTTTTGCTTTTCCTGTAATCTGCATGTACTGATTTATTTTTGTAGAACTTCAAAAATTAAAAAATAGGAGTAAACCACATCTGTAGTTAGTATTTTTTTCAAATATGTAGCACTTCATTTCAGTTGGGTTTTATGAGGACAAGAGCTTGGACCAAATGCTTTAAGAATTGTTTCTGCCTTTCAGAGTCTATGATTATAACTACCAAATTAAATTCCACTGGAAATAAGTAAAACTGTGGAAGGAATAAGAACGCAGTTGGTATTAAAAGGAAATAAAGAAATTACTAAAAAGTTATGAAATGTTATGTTACAGTGTTTCTTTAAAAATGTGTATATGTCATCTTTGGGAGAATCTTTTAGGGTTTGTGTTCTTGTTGAGGGGGTAGAGATGATAAAGCAATCTGTAACCAAATACAGGTTGCATATGGAAGTGGTAATGCTTATTAATTAGCATGCTGATTAATGCCTATGATAATGTGTTGGAGGGAATGTCTCAATTTTATCTAAATAAAGGATAGAAACACTGAAATTTTATTGTAGGTCTTAAGTGGAAAAGGAGTAGAACATTTAAGTATTATTCTGAAGTAATCTTAACTGTGATGTGGTTTTGGGCATCAGTGACTGTATATGTCTTATAATAATATTTTTTTTCTGATATTGCAAACTGTTGTTTCAGGTATACTTTTTAGAATCAGATTTTTTTTTTTTTGTATAATTTGACATGGGATCTTAATTTAATTTACTCATCCTTTGTCTTGTGCCCCTGAATTTTTTGCTTTAGAAAATAGCTTTATTTCTCAGATCTTCTTGTATCATGGGTGAAGTTCATAACTGACCTGTATAAATAAAATTTCGTACTTGAAGCCTTCTAGTAAGAATCTGAATTGTCTGTTCTATTAGAGGAAAAGTTCATGTATAGTTCTTTAACTTACTTTGTTTCAACTAAATTTAGAAAGAATTACTTCATATTTTAAAGAATATAATACTTATAGGAAGGAGATGATATGGATAATTAGAAAAATCTGGGATGAAAAACAATAGGCTATAATTTGTTCAAGAAAGTTTTTGAACAACAACATGCATCTCTTTAGGGGCAGGGCATAAAATAATAGGCAAACAGACAAGAATCTTTACCCTCCTCAAACTTATATTTTGCTGGGGAGAGATGCACAATAAATAAGAAAATGAAATATGTAGTCTATAAGTCAGATTGTCAAGGTGTTAAAAAATTATAAATAAGATTTTCTCATCTGATTTTTATTTTTTAAATCTTGGTGTAGTCGAACCAAATTCCGCCACAGTCAGCAGTTGTTTCCTGAAGGTTCTCCTGGCGACCAGTGGGTAAAACACAGACAGCCACTGCAGCAAAAGCCATACAATAGCCATTCTGAAATGTCTGACCTTTTAAAAGCAAAGGTGAGTGATATACATTTAAAATTTTTGAATAATTTACATCATTTGTCATTGAAGTTATTCTTTTTTGTTTTTAATTCTAATTTGTTATATATGACAGCAGAATGCATTACAATTCATTACACATAGAGCACAATTTTTCATATCTCTGGTTTTATAGAAAGTATACTCAAACCATTTGTGTCTTCATACATATACTTAGGGTAATGATACCCATCTCATTCCACCATCTTTTTTATCCTTGTGCCCCCTCCCTTCCCCTCTCACCCTTTTGCTCTATCTAGGATTCCTCTAATCCTCCCCAAGCTCCCCCTCCCAACCCCATTATGAATCAGCCTCCTTATATCAGAGAAAACATTCGGTGTTTGGTTTTTTTGGGGGATTGGTCAACTCCACTTAGCATTATATTCTCCAACTTCATCCATTTACCTGCAAATGCCATGATTTTATTCTCTTTTTTATTGCTGAGTAATATTCCATTGTGTATATATGCCACATTTTTTTTAATCCATTCATCTGTTGAGGGGCATCTAGCTTGGTTCCACAGTTCAGCTATTGTGAATTGTGCTGCTGTAAACATTGATGTGGCTGTGTCCTTGTAGTATGCTGTTTTTAAGTCCTTTGGGTATAGACCGAGGAGAGGGATAGCTGAGTCAAATGGTGGTTCCATTCCCAATTTTCCAAGAAATCTCCATACTGCTTTCCATATTGGCTGTACCAGTTTGCAGTGTATGAGTGTACCTTTTTCCCCACATCCTCGCCAACACTTACTGTTGTTTGTATGCATAATAGCTGCCATTCTGACTGGAGTGAGATGAAATCTTAGAGTAGTTTTGATTTGCATTTCTCTAATTGCTAGATATGTTGAACATTTTTTTCATATATTTGTCGATTGATTGTATATCCTCTTCTGAGAGGTGTCTGTTCAGTTCCTTGGCCCATTTATTGATTAGGTTATTTGTTGTTTTGGTGCTTAGCTTTTTGAGTTCTTTATATACCCTAGAGATTAGTGCTCTATCTGTGTGAGTGGCAAAAATTTGCTCCCAAGATGTAGGCTCTCTATTCACCTCACTGTTTCTTTTTCTGAGAAGAAGCTTTTGAGTTTGAGTCTACCCCATTTATTGATTCTTGATTTTAATTGTTGTGCTGTAAGAGTCTTATTAAGGAAGTTGGGGCCTAATCCAACATGATGGAGATTTGGGCCTACTTTTTCTTCTAATAGGCACAGTGTCTCTTGTTGAATTCCTAGGTCCTTGATCCACTTTGAGTTTTGTGCCTGGTGAGAGAGGGGGGTTTAATTTCATTTTGTTGCATATGGATTTCCAGTTCTCCCAGCACCGTTTATTGAAGACGTTATCTTTTCTCTGATGTATGTTTTTAGCACATTTGTCTAATATAAGATAACTGTAGTATTGTGGGTTAGTTTCTGTGTCCTCTGTTCTGTACTATTGATCTATCAGTCTATTTTGGTGCCAATAACTATTTCTCTATAGTATAGTTTAACGTCTGATATAGTGAGGCCACCTGCTTCACCCTTCTTGCTAGGGATTGCTTTAGCTATTCTGGGTCTCTTATCAGATGGTATTTTGTTTACATTGGGATCTGTTAATGTTGTCCTTCTGCTCAAAGGAGAGGTATTAGAACCCTGCAGGGGCATTATAAGCCTATAAACTAAAAACAGCAACGCCTTGAATCCACAAAGCTAGAAAGGAAGGCACATGAGCAACATGAAAAGACAAGGGAAGAAAGCGCCCCAAGCACATCAGGATACCACATTATTAGAATCCATGGCCAGCATAGCAGATGAAATGACAGAGAAGGAGTTCAGGATGTATATAATTAAAATGTTTTGTGAATTAAAAGATGATACAAGAGAGCAAATACAGGCAGCAAAAGATTACTTCAATAGGGAGATAGACGTTCTAAAGAAAAACCAAACAAAAATCCTTGAAATGAAAGGAACAATAAACCAAATTTAAAGTTGAATTAAAAGTATCATCAACAAATTAGACCATTTGGAAGACAGGACCTCAGACAATGAAGACAAAATATATACTCTTGAAAAAAAAGTAGACCACACAGTGAAAAATGTTAAGAAACCATGAGCAGAACATTCAAGAAACATGGGATAGCATAAAAAGACCAAATTTAAGAGTTATTTGGATAGAGGAAGGCTTAGAGTTTAAAACCAAAGGAATGAGCAATCTCTTCAACAAAATAATATCAGAAAATTTTCCAAACATGAAGAACAAATTGGAAAACCAAATTCAAGAGGCCTACAGGACACCAAAAGTGCAAAATCACAACAGATCCACACCAAGGCACATTATAATGAAAATGCCTAGTATACAGAATAAGGAGAGAATATTAAAAGCCACAAGAGAAAGAAATCAGATTACATATAGGGGGAAACCAATTAGGTTATGTGCAGATTTTTCAACCCAGACCCTGAGAACTAGAAGATCCTGGAACAATATATATAAAGCCCTTTAAGAAAATGGATACCAGCCAAGAATCTTGTATCCAGCAAAATTAAGCTTTAGATTTGATGATGAAGTAAAACCTTCCATGATAAACAAAAGTTAAAAGAATTTACAGCTAGATAACCTGCACTACAGGACATCCTTAGCAAAATATTCTATGAAGAGGAAATGAAAAACAACAATGAAATTATTCTTAGTTGACTAATTAATGATATATTATAGAGCTCTGAATTGTCGAGCAAAGACTTTGATGTGTCTGACTTGTGATTTGAAGCAGGGCAGACATTCCTTATCCTTTACAACTTTGTTATAAATTCAGCTTGGCAGGTGGCACATGCCTGTAATCCCAGCAATTTGGGAGACTGAAGCAGGAGGATTATAAGTTCAAAGCCAACTTCAGTGACTTAGCGATGCTCTAAGCAACTTAGACCCTGTCTCAAAATAAAAAAATTAAAAATGGGCTGGGGATGTGACTCAGTGGTTAAACACCCCTGGGTTTAATCCCCGTACCAAAAAAAAAAAAAAAAAATCTGTATAGCAAATAATAGGAACTAATACCTGATTTTAGTATATGTACTGTTAGTTAAAGGCTCATTCAAAAACAAAACAACAAATGATGGCTTCCAAGTTAAGATAAATGGGGTCTGGGGACGTGGCTCAAGCGGTAGTGCACTCACCTGGCATGCGTGCGGCCAGGGTTTGATCCAAGCACCACATACAAACAAAGATGTTGTGTCCGCTGAAAACTAAAAAAAATAAATATTAAAAAATTCTCTCTCTCTTTAAAAAAAAAAAATAGTCACTTCCAAGTTAAGATAAATGGATCTATTGACTTTTTTCCAAGAAAAATGCAACATTGTATTGTAAAATTTTCATTTTTGCTCTTGATTAGCAAAAATGGCTTATGATGATACCAGACTTTTATCCATTCATGCTTAGTGGACACTTTGGTTGTTGCTACTTTATTGCCTATGTTCTTGAGTATGTACTTGGAAATGATGTTTTCTAATGTTTTATACTTGCTTCTAGATATGAGAGTTGTGTTTTATATCCTTACACGTGGTATTATCTTTTTCATTTATTTATTTTTTTGTATTGAGAATTGAGGTACTTAACAAATGAGCCACATCCCAGCCCTTTTTATATTTTGTTTAGAGATGGGGTCTCAACTGAGTTGCTAAGTGCCCAGCTAAGTTGCTGAGGCTGGCTTTGAACTTTTGATCCTCCTTCCTCAGCCTCCTGAGTCACTGGGATCACAGGCATGTGACACCGTGCCTGGCTATCTTTTTTATTTTAAACATTCATTAGGGTGCCAACCTTATTATCATTTTTAAAAATACAGTTTGTCAAAATTTAAAAACTTTTGTGCATCATAAGACATTATTGAAACAGTGAAAAGACAGCCTGCAAAATGGGAAAAAATGTTCACAGATCATGCATTTGAAAGAAATTAATTTCCAGAATATGTAAACAACTCAACAACAAAATACCAACCCTATTAAAATGTGGGCAAGTGGGGGGCTGGGGAAGTGGCTCAAGTGGTAGCGCGCTCGCCTGGCATGCGTGCGGCCCAGGTTCGATCCTCAGCACCACATACAAAGATGTTGTGTCCGCCGAAAACTAAAAAATAAATATTAAAAAAAATTCTCTCTCTCTCTCAAAAAAAAAAAAAAAAATGTGGGCAAGTGGGGTTGGGGCTGGAGCTCAGTGGTAGCACACTTGCCTGGCATGTGTGAGACACTGGGTTTGATTCTGAGCACCACATATAAGTACATAAAATAAAGGTCTATCAACAACAACAACAAAAATATGGGTAAGTGACTTAAATAGACACTTCTCAGAAGAAGATATTCCAATGGCCAATAAGTGCAAAAAAGATGTTTGCAACATTGTTATTAGGGAAATAACTGCAAATCAAAGCACAGTGAGATACCACTTATGTATTAGGGTGCCAGTAAGGATAATAACACCAATAAAATTGAAAATAACAACTATTGATGAAAATGTGGAGAATTGGAATGCTTGTACACTCCTGTGGAATATATGGAGAACAGTACTGATGTTTTCTCAAAAAGTCTAAAGTTACCATTTAACTCAGTAATTTCACACCTAAGTATATATTCAGAGGAATCAAAAGCAGGTACTTAAAAGATTATCATCTAACAGTGCTTACTTATTAGAAATTTAAAGTAGATTTTTCAGGGTGATAACTGATCACATCCACTACTGTTCTAAATTCTGTTGCCAGTTCCCATTAGCGTTCCTTTCACAGAGAGTTCCCCTTTAATAGTCATGTAGCGTTTTCAAAACCTGTTCCTCCATCTTTTCTCTCTTATTTATTTATTTATTTGTTTGTTTATTGGTGGTGGTGGTGATGGTGGTGGTGGTGGTGGTAAGGGTGTTGTTGGAGATTTAACCCAGGGCCTCATGCATTCTAACTACACTGTATCACTTCAGTTACTTGTACCCCTAGCTTCTATTTATGCATTATAAAATCTGTAAGCAGAAGTGGGACAAGGCAAGAGATGCGGAAAGATTCCCAAGGCCCATCCTATTTGCTCTTTTATACCTTTAGTGGAATCTTTATTTGTAAAGAATTATCTTTTGTAAGGAAATACGTTGATATGATGATTTATGAAATTTTTAATTCTATCTAGCTACAAACATTCATAGAAGTATATTTTGTGTTGTTACGTTATATAATAAATTTACATTTTATTTCTTTTTATTGGGACAATAGAATCAGAGTATGAGGGGAAATGGCAGAAAACAGTATCAAGATTCACCTAATCAGAAGAAAAGAACAAACGGTGTCCATAGCCAGCCACCAAAGCAGCAGAATCCCTTGATGGTAAGAATTATGGCACAAATGCTAAATATAGTTCATTCTGAGAGTGGAACAATGGGCATTGTCAATGCACATTAATGTTATTGTGTTGTTATTTTGATACATTAGTAGGATTTTTATGCAAGTAAATTAGGCACTCTTGTATTCATGCACAAAAAATTTTATTTGGTTGCTCTTAATTATAGACTTACAACATTGATTCAGTTGTACATATAATTTTTTGCTTTTTAGATGGTTATTTACATTGATTTTGGGGTTGGTGTACCAGGGATTGAACTCAGGGGCACTAACCACTGAGCAACACCCCCCAGCCCTATTTTGTAATTATTTAGAGACAGGGTCTCACTGAGTTGCTTAACGCCTCGCCCTTGCAGAGGCTGGCTTTGAACTTGTGATCCCCCTGTCTCGTCTTCTCGAGCTGCTGGAATTACAGGTGTGCGCCACCATGCCCGGATACATTGATTTTCATGCTATGAAAACAAGAGTTAGACTTCTCTAGAGCAATCCTTTGGCTGTTACTCTGTCTATATTTTCATAAAGAATAATCTATTAAAATTTTTTCAATTTAAACTTTTCAGTGGATCTTTAAAAGCATAAAAACTGTATGTACTTACGGATTACCATGTGATGTATTCATACATGTATACACAAAACAAATGTTCAAATCAGGTTAAACAAATCTGTCTCTCAAACATCTGTCTGCTTTTCTTCATAGTGAAAAAAACCTCCTTCCAACTTTTATATATATATATATAAGTTGTATTTGGACACAATATTTTATTTATTTTTTGTGGTGCTGAGGATTGAACCCAGCGCCTCGCACATGCTAGGTGAGCGCTCTACCGCTGAGCCCCAGCCCCTCCTTCCAACTTTTTGAAATACATTTTATATTATCAATATCTATGGGCTTAGTCCCGTCTAGTTGTATCCATTGATCAACTTTTTTGCATCCCTCTGTTTCCCCCATTACTCTCCCCAGCCTCCAGTACCAGTCTACTCTCAACTTCTTTTTGTGAAATTAACTTTTTTGTAATTCATTAATTTATTGAAATTAAAAATTTGGTAGAAAGTCAGTGGTTTTTTTTTTTTTTCCTTCTCCAAGTTGATAGTTTAGAAAATTAAACACTAATAGCTAGTGACATTGTCATTAAACTAGGTCTAAAGACAAATAACTGAACATTTTAAGGCATTACCTTTCATTCTTAATTTGTGCTTCAGAAGGTAACTAATAATGCCCTTGCTTATTTCTTTTGTAAATCCTAATGTTAGTGTGCTTGATTTTCTTTTTGTAGTTTTACCTGTTTTTCATTTCTTTAGTAAAGTGGATGATAATAGTAATCCAAATTTTTAGCAAAAAATTTTTCCTGAATTCCTTGAGTATAATTTGTTTGACTTGGGGTGTAATGACTCCTCCAGTGAAGATAAAGATACATTAAAGACCAGTTTACTATCAAAACTTTTTACTCTGTTAGGGCTGGGGATGTATCTCCATGGTAGAGTGCTTGCCTGCATGTACAAGGTCCTGGGTTCAACCCCTAGTACTGCAAAATACAAAAACAAACAAAAAAAGAAACAAGTCATTTGCCCTCTTATTTAACTGTAGTCTGATTAAAAAAAAAAAAAAATACTGGAAAGAACAAAATAATCTTAATTGATGATCAGAATACTTCTAATAAAATTCAACATCTAACAAAAGCTAGGCGAGTATTTCTTAATGATAATATTGTACAACTCTCCTCAAAGTATAAATTTAACTCTACCAGTCAAAAATTTTTACTGGCTTTTCTTTTTGAAAATGTCACAAAGGACTCTCAAATTTGTCTGGAAAATTTGAATAGATTTAAAAGTTTTAGAAAAGAGAACAAGTATATGAACAGTTTGTAAGAGAAGAAATAAAAATGACTAATACACATATGAAAAGTGTTAAGTGTTCAAAGAGGAGTTTTACCTATATCAAAAGCCTTATCTCATTTCCTTAGAAGGGGAATTTAAAGAAGACTCACCCTTCCCTTTCTTTTCATAATAATGAAAATATGGAACAAGTAAGAGATCTAAGAAGATGATATTAAATGCTGTATTGTAGATAGATGCAGTAGACTATCATTGAATCAGTAAAATCTAAATGTGTACTTATAGAAAAAAGATTTTGTTCATAATATGACCTTTTTTTAACATTAAAAAAATTTTTGTAGTTGTAGATGGACAGTTAAATAAACAAAAACATTTAGGCTTGGGGGGGGTGGAGAAGCTACTAAGGGCTGAGGTGTAGATCAGTGGCAAAGCACATGCTGTTATATGCAAAATCCTGGGTTTAATTAATCTCCAGTTCCAATAAAGAAAAGACCCCCCCCCAAAAAAAAAAAAAAAAACAGTGAGAGAATGGAAATGATAATTACATTCCTGGTTAATTCTCACTGAGAAATTTGGTAATATATCTCCTTATTTTTAATAAGTGCAAATAATTGGAGACTGTTTTGTATATGTGAGTGTGTTTGTGGTTTTTGTTTTGTTTTGATAGAAATGTGAAAAGAAACTGCATCCACGAAAACTTCAGGATAACTTTGAAACAGGCAAGTTGTTTTCTGTTTTTTTCAAGAATCTGTCTTGTGGGGTTTGGTTTGTTTGCCTGATTTTTTAAGGTTATATAATGAACTGATAGTTAAAACAGGAAGAATTGCATATATTCTTTAGAGTTCCTATATGTGGAGTTCTCTATAAACTGTCTAAAATGAATTAATTTAAATGATCAAGATGAAATTATTTGCCCTTTATACTATTTCTTTTGTGAATGTGAAGTCTCTGCTATGCCTGAGTATGTGAAAAATTACTTATGTATTAATGGGAGAATAGAAAGGGCCAAGTTATTGTAAAGGTACAGAAACCTCATTGTCACATGTACATAAAAACACTAAGTTCACAATCGAATATATTCTCCCTTTTTTGAAGGTATTGAGGATCTTTTTAAGGTGGTTCCATGGATAGAACTGTCACTTAGAAGTGCAGTGTGCTGTTTTTGAAGTGTTTGAAATTTGCTGTGCTATGCATTTATTCATCTTAATTTAAGGCTTTCTTAGAAAAGTTAAGAAATCAAAAATATTCTTTATCTTATTTTTATGTTAATGTCTATAATTTTAGCAAGATAAAAAAGCTACTATTATGGAAAGTTAAGGTTAACTATGAAGTAGGATTTATCATCACATTTTAGTTTGATGTAGTCTCCTTTATTTTTGCTTTTGGTGTCCTATCCAAAAAGTTAAGCTTTTTTTCTGTCTTTCCTTCCAGAAGTGCCACAGTTTACGGTTTTTACATTTAAGTCTTTAATCTATTTCAAGTTCATTTTTATGTATGGCATAATAGTTGTGTATGAATATATTAAACTTTGGGTTGTCTTGAGAAAGAAGTATAAAAGGATTCTTGTTTTGAGAATCCTGATATTCAGACCTCTTGCCTCAGCTTCTTAATGTCCTTTCCAGACCTGATTTCCTGGTTAGGTCCCTGCTATATTTAAAAAAGGAACAGAACCAAATAACAGCAAAACCAAATAAATTGCAGTTTTGTTATACTCTGATTTGGGGAAAAAATTTTTTTTCATTCTGTATATTAAAGACTGAGGAGTAACTACTTCTTTTTTTTTTTTTAGTTGTAGATGGACGCAATACTTTTATTTTATTTATTTATATGTGGTGCTAAGGATCGAACCCAGGGCCTCACACATGCGAGGCAAGCGCTGTACCACTGAGCCCAGCCCTAGCCCCTTGAGTAACTTATTTTTCTGTAATTGTAATCTTTACAATTTTTCCATTTTAACTGATTTTCACATTGCTTCCATTTTGAGCTCTTTGGAGAAGCTCTTGATATTTTTGCACAGAATGCAAATGAATATAATAGGTAAAATTGTGTCCATTTTAAAAACAAGGGAAAGTTGAAGGATTTTGAGTATTTATGTAGAAATAATCAATAATTAGAAATTCAGTTGACGAAAAGGAAATATTTTGGTGGTTCTGCTTAGGTTAGAGTGTGGAAAGATAAACATTCTGCATGAATTTCTTTGTAACAAAGGTAAAGGGTCATGTTTTCTTACTGAGTTACTGAGATTATTTATTTTGTTTCCTAAGCAGATGCTGTATATGACCTGCCTTGTTCCAGTGAAGACCAGTTGCTAGAACATGTTGAGGGACAGTCTGTGGCATGTAATGGACATTGCAAGTTCCCCTTTTCATCCAGAACTTTTTTGAGTTTCAAGTTTGACCATAATGCTATAATGAAAATCTTGGACCTTTGATAGCAACAGATGTATTATAGAAGTCCCAAGATCAGAGACCTGTTGTATTTGAGCGGGTGTCTCCTCAAGCCTTACCTTTCTCAGGTGTTTTAAAGAAATGCAGGGAGGCAGTGTTTCTGAAAGGATTTTCTGTGCAGAAGAGTAGAAAGAAGCATGAGTTTGCACTGTAAATGCAGTTATAATCTTTTAAACAGTTTTACCTTTTCAGTGTTTGAAACAAGTGTAATTTTTTTTTGGAGGGCATTTTTTTTGCGTGTGTGTGACTGGGTCTTATTTTTTCTGGTCAAGAAAATAGTGTTTGAGAAATCAATTAGCCAAGGTAATGGGAATACTTCATCTACCCATTACAGTGATTGCAATAATCGTTTACTTGTATTGAAATTTTTAAAAAGAAACTTAAAATATCCAATTATTAAATGAACATAAAAGCTGAAATGTCTCAGATGTTGAGATTGCAAGCCATCTGTCTTGGTGGCATTTTATTTCTCTGCTTCTGACCACTGAAGCTAATTCTCCTTTGCTTAGAGTTTTGTTGAAAGGAGTTATTCAGAGCCAACATCTTTAATATAATATTCATGTGCAAAATGAACTCATAGCACTTCATAAGGATAAAATTGGCAGCTTGGAGGAGGGATTCAGTTGATGGGGAGTTGATGCTGTAATTTTGAGTTGTGCTGGGTACATTCAATAAACCTATGAGTGCTGGAGCAGAAAGCAAGGAGGCAAGGGCCCAGTAAGTATTTGGGATTATGTTTTTACCATCCTGCCTCCAACCCTTTACCATTGTATAATGATTTTGTTCGTGTGAAAATTTCTGATATATTCCAGTTGTGTAAATATGTATGGAAAAATTGACATTAGTTTTACATTGCATATCTGTGTGATCTATGGAAATTGATGTTATATTAGGTTCCAATTTTCAGTAGAACAAAGTGAAATGCTTTTATTGGCATGCTGAAACCCCTGAATGATGGGCATCAGAAGCAGAAGGGGTGTCCAGTTTACCAAGAACAAATAAAGCATTTCACTAGGGCAAGATCAGAACATGAAAGTAACATACATAACTCACTCCTAGGAATGTATTTTGCTCCTTTCGGATTCTTAAATCCAAATAAGGATGGCAATAGCCATTTTGAGAAGAATTTTCAGCTATAACTGAGGACAATCACCTGAGCTTTAAGTAGGAGATACATTTTGGCTGCATCTGACCTCATTGAAGATAATTCTTGGGGGTGGGGGTGAGGGACAGTTTGAGTCTATGCGTGTGTGTCTGTCATATGGGTTTTGATCTTTTTGTTTGTTTTACAAGTGGTATCCACAAAATATTTTCTGCTTATAAATGTTACTGTAGAAATCTTTATTCTGTATAGGTAGCCTATTTAATTAGAGGTTCTGCTTAACCTGTAGAACTTTTAAAAAGGGGGCTATTGTAAGGATTCACTTTGTATTATTACTTGGCTTTAGATTTTAAGTGACTTGATTTTAAAGGAGAAATTCTATTTATTAATGAAAGTGTCACACTCGGTGCTAAGCAGGAGAATTCATGTTGCTAGCAGTGTTTTGAGAATTAGGTTATCCACAATCCTGCATCTTTTAATGTGACTAATTTGTGAATCCTTATGTGACCTTTGCTTTTTAATGCATTATATGATTGCATTTGGAAGCTCTTACTATTCTTTTCAGAAATACAGCTGCTTTGCTCGGGTCTCCTTGAGCCATGTTTATAGTTGGTCCAAGCATTCCAGATTTCTGTTAAATCATTAAGGAAGTGAAAACAGTTTGCCTGGCAGATGAATCATTTTTCACTTGTTTACTGTCATCTGGAAACCATTTAATTTTTAGTGTTTTTGTGTGTGTGTGTGTGTGTGTATCTTTTTTTTTTTTTTTTCTTTTTAAATGAGTGCTTGATCAGTCCTTCTGGTGCCTATAGGTTTAGACTTTAGCTCTCAATACTAAAGCATAAGAGATCAGAGTTATCAGAAGTATGGATTCTGTGGTTGAGTATTTTCAAGAACTAACAAATTTTCTTTAATTACAATAGTTATTGCTGTTGTGCTGCTTCATTTAATGCACTGTGGAACAAACTTAAGGGAATGGTTGGTATGTGATTATGATAACTTAGGCTCTCTTGACAGTATGAGGTTAACATGTTAAATGATGAGTTAAATTTTACGTGTATGATGTGACTTAACTATGCAGAAAATATTTAAGTTGGATGTACCTGTTTGTTGTACTTATTCCCTCTCATTGTTCAGGTTACCTTGAGACAGGCCATGCTTAGCACAGGACTAGATTTTCTCCTTTTGGGATACTTAAGTATGATTTGAGGAAATCAGATGATAAAGTAGTATGCTGAATATGCAATAATTTCCTTCTATTGAGTGCTGCATTTTAAGAAGCTAAATGAGAAGAGTAGCTATGTTGGCTTCACTATGTTTCATGTATTTGAAAGATAAATAGGTCTTTGAATTCACTTTTTAAATGTTCCAACCACATGTTCCAGGGTGCAGTGCACTGTGAATCTTTCATTTTTTAAAATTTTGTAGGTGCTTTTATGTGTAACTTCAATGATTTATAGTTCAGATTAATAATGTTAATACATGTTAAATGAATTGTTTTTATACTTAGTCATTGTAATCCAAAAGATAAGGGTATGGTTTACATGTTTTTCACAAGTTTTTATTAAGAAATAGCAAACAAATGGTTTTAGGATTTCAAATAGGCATGCCCTCTGGAGACATGAACATTTGGAGAAGTCTGAGAATCTAATAGTTCTGTTAGCATGGGTGGAATTTGATTAAAATTAAGCTTGTTTGAATTAGTACATAAAGGATAAAGTCTCCCAGTGCTATCAGAGACATTGTAGTAATTGCTTGCTTTTTTGAGCTTTGAATATCATTATTTTTGTAATATGTATCCATTAGTAAATACAGATAATGAAGATATATAGCAGAATTAATTTTATGCTATAAGATTAGGTTGTACTCTTTCTTTTTGAAGGCTTTAATAATTTGTTTGTAATGTCGAAAACTCCATACTAAGTGAATGACATTCATCCACTATAGGAATTAAATTCCTTTCTACTACTCAACATATTGTTTTCTCTAGAAAAGTTAAGATCTGTGTGCATGTGTGCACTAAAATCATTTCATTTCCTATTCCCTCACTTATATAGTCTTAGGTTTCCTTTTTTTTTTTTTAACCCCCAACATTTAGTTAACTTAGTAAGTAGAGCAAAATCAATTATAAAAAATTAGACTTATTGCCAAGTTGTTCTTACTGTGTTACTTCTATTTACTTTTTATTTTTGTACTGGTGGACCTTTCTGCTCAGAGATTGTTTTGATTAACATTTATTGTGTCTCTGTATTCTCTGAGGCAGTATTTTCTTCGTGTATGAATCTTAGCTATTCATTAACACTTCCTCATGATCTTGACTTTTTTCTAGCCTGGGGGAAGGGGTTCATATGTATTGTAACTTTAAATTGATGATAAACAAGATAACCATTGTTTTGTTTGAAGGTATTTTTAACCTTTATGTACCTGTCTTAATGAAACAACAGTTTTGTTAACCTTAGTTGCTCATTTCTTCCGTCCTAAAACTTTAAAGTGCATTTGTATAGTTGCCAAAAATCCTAAAAATGAGCTTAAGATGGGCCTTCTCAGCATCTTTTTTCTTCTTAGAATTGAATTACTCTTAAAATCTATCTGCCTGTCAGAAGGTGGCAGATTGCAGATGGGCAGTACAAGCTTTGTCCTGTGCTTTCAAAGTAGAATTCTGGATTGCACATTCTAAAATTGATGATAGATTAGTATTATAGAACAAAAGTGCCCTGAAAAGAAAAGAGAACTATAGTTGCTGGGCAGAGTATAAGGAGGACATTGTAGAAGATATATCAATCCTTGAGTACTATATGATGCATCAAGCCTAAGCATAGTCTGATATATATACACACTATATATATATATATATATATGGCCATTGCCAAGCATTTTCTAACCCCGAATAAACTTATTTTTTCCTTAGTATGATTGCCAAGCAATCCAGTGAATCTAAAGGAATTTTTCTCACTTTAAAGACCAGAGTTTGGGAGTCTGGTCCTTTCTGTGCTGTATCATTGCAGAACTCCAGCCACTCTGAAGTGCACTGCTCTCTTATAGGAAAGGGAGGTAACCCAGAGTGCATACAGCTATAGTCAGCTGTATGTGGCAGCTATACATTTGTCCTGAATGCTTATTCATTTCTTATCAACGAGTTTCCTTGTGGCAAATAGCATTTATTATTGAAATAGTCCTTAAGTAGTGAAAATAATGAAGTTAATTCCCTTAAATGGGAGTAAAGTATTGACTTTTACCAGCAGAATTATTCAGACTTTAGCATGAAGTACAAAGAAGTGTACAAAAAACAACTGTGATAAAATGTAAACGTTTTGTCTTGAAAAAGTATTCATAATGGAATTTCTCATCTGGGTCCCAGATTAATGAAATCACCAGTCAAGAGATTACATTTACCTTGGGTCTTCTGTAATTAGCAGAGGGGATGATCTGTATATATTAGTAGCTTGAAAGCACAATCTAAAAGAAATTAACCTTCATAAGGTGTCTGCATTATCTGAGTAGTGTTGGTCAAGGGAACTCTGGGGATAGAGATTGAATGCAGAAATGCAAGTGTGTGTGATTTTTGTCTCCTCCTCATACTTTAGTCCTTTGGGTCAGGAAAACAGTAAGGCCCTGAATATATGTTTGTTGCAGGTAGATGTGTATTTTTCCTTATTGGCTGGTCTGCTGAGTGCCATTTAAAAAAAAAAAAAAAAATTGTTTCTAATACTTGGTGTGGCTGGCCAGGAAGTCATTGAGGTCCACACACACACCCACACCCGCACCCACACACCCCTTCCCCATTTTTTCCTGGTGACTTTTCCCTTCATCTTTTTCTTTGTGCTATTTCCCTTTTGGCCACTGTGAGAACTTGCAAGTAGTGATTACATTTTGCCTTCTGAAGATGACTTCACTTTGACACTTGGGCCACAAGCAGATAGAAGTCTGTGAACACTTGTGCTCTTTTGAGTCTGAATGCATGTAGTTGACACATTATTGGTTTGAGAGTAGAAAACTGTGGTTCCAAGGTGAAATGGGCAGTATTTGCTGATTCTCAGTCTTCAAGAGGTCCTAGGTAACATTCTTAGGATAGTAGACTTTTTGAGGTAAAGTGTAACATTTTAATTTAATCTACTTTGAATGAATTGAATCTAAGGTTCTAAAACAATCTAACAGCTACAAACTAGTGAAAGACTTGGGGCACAATTCTACATTCTTCGTTATTTCTCAAGCTTTAAGAAATTAGCGTATGCTTTTATGATATTTAGGAATAAACTATGGGTGGCAGAAAATGAAAACAAATTAAGGTTCTCTACTGTGAATGAAATTTAGCAATGTAATATCTTTTCCTTAGTAGTTTGGTTGATTAGATGTGTTAATACTTTTGGAACATATGAGTAGCAGTGGACTTGCACTCTTCATGCACTGATAGAAAAGCACAAGACATATCTGCAAGAATTTCTTTGTGCATTTCACTACTGTCCTATGGCACTGCTGTCTCTGTGGTCCATTTTAGGTTTATGTTTGGATGTTGCACAAGTAACTATTAATGTCAAATGCAAGTGTCCAAAGAAATGAGCCTTTAATTTTACTTTTTGTTTGAATTTAGGACAGGAGACGGCTAACCTGACTTATACTTTAAATAGTACCATCTTTCTCTTTAGTAACAATTAGGAAAGGACAATAAAATCACAAACAATTTTGGTTTATATATTTTCTCTCTTAAAATTATTTTTGAAGTTTATTAGTTTAAAATCTTTTTAAAAATCATCTCTGATAGGCATTGACTCATCCTTGTTCTGTGAATGATTCAGATTTAATTTTATCTCTTGGCTTTAATGAAACTTTAAAACAATCATTTCAGAACGATTAATCAGATGGAATAATGTTCACGTATTAGCTAGCTTAAGTGAAATGTCGTAAGACTGTCTTTCATCTAACCAAAATAAGGTGTATGGTTTCATTTGGGTGAGAAAGGGAATGAGAATTGCTTTTTTAAAAAATACATACATACTGTGCCTGTTTCTAAAACAAGATTTGAAGTGGCTTTTTACATTATGCTGTGAAGACTAGGTAATGTTCAAGGAAGATATATAGTCTTAACACATTTTCCTTGAGACTAAGTTTTAGTCTGAAAAAGGGAAAGAGATTTATGCTGTGTCATGTTAAGCAAAATATTTGGAACCTACAAAAGCTGGTAGACATGGGGCTGGGGCTCAGAGGGAGAGCGCTCGCCTAGCATGCGTGAGGCACTGGGTTCTATCCTCAGCACCACATAAAGTAAAATAAAGACGTGTCCACTATAACTAAAAAGTAAATACTTTTTAAAAAGCTGGTAGATAAAAATTTGAAATGGTTTCATTAAAAACATGGTATTCAGTGAGAACTGGACTTTAGGGTAAATGTGCTAACTAAATAGATTTGTAAACTTTATTTCTTCAGTAATCATTATTGTCATGCAAAATGATCTAACATTTAATTTTCGCTTAAATTATAGCACTGTTGTATTACTTTACCTTATAGGACATTTTAATGCTTGGAGAATGACTGTAAGTATATACCCTTCAAGTGATTCTGTCTATAGTAGTGATAAAGTTCTTACTGCTTTTTGATTAATTGTCAAAACATTTAGGGAGAACTAAAAAGGAACCCAAAGTACCAGTGGGGTTTATCTTGGAGTTTAAAGAATTTGAAACATTTAGAGCAGATTTTTTGTTTCTGGATTTATTTTACTCTGAGGTTCAACAATAGCTTTGTTTTTTCCTTCAGTGTTAATGAAAGGAAAAGGACTGAATTTCACTTGTTGGATATAACTGTCATAAATAAAAGATTTCTGAGACTCATGTTTGTGAGTTGGAGTTTATTTGCAGAAGCTTTGTACTTCCAAAGATGTGTTTGTTTTCTGTACCTTCCACTGAGAAAATGAATTGATGACTTAATAGTTATTATGCTCTAATTTTTGAAAGTATTTTGATGTAAATAGCACCAATTTAGAAATTGAAAACCTAACTATAAAAACCAATAATGAAGGTTACTCATATACTGGCTTTCTGTAAAACATTAGGCTATTTGTAAAACAATACCAATAAAATTGGCTGTTTGAGCAGTTTTAGTTACTACCTTGTTTCTGCTGTTAATTGTACTGCAGGTTCTGAGTTTTCATTTGGGACCAATGAAAATTGATGAATATAGGATATATATAAAATAAAGTTATGTTTACATAAGGGGAAGAAATATTAAATGTTCAATGTCTCTGCAAAAATGAAAATGGGAAACTTGTATTTATTTCTCATTTTAAACCACATTTTTTTACTTTAAAGCAAGATTATAGTGGCAGGCTTGAGATGTGAACCTGCTAATGTACAATTCATCAGTTCTTTAAATATGTGCTAGAACCAGGCTTTGCGATAAAATGATTGTCCTTGGATCCCAGGGGAGAAAGAAATATATGATGTGGACTAGTGTATAATGCTGTTATTATCAAAGGTACTTTGCTCCTATAGTGAAAAATTGATACATGCTATAAAGCTGCTTCCTATCTTGTAGGCATAGTCTTGTATGACTTCCTTGTACTTTTAGTTCTGTGTTATCATCCCTGTACCAGTAATCTTTAAAAGGGAAAAGAGATGATTTTGGCATAAATGGAAAGTCAAGGAAGTGGCTAAATAATAAAATTTGGTGATAAACAACGTTTCTTTGGCTGTTGGTGGTTTGATCTAGCCTTAATCCTAGCCCCTTACTTTGACTAAGTCACTTTATCAAATCTGAGGTGCTTATATTAAATATTCACATGTTTAATAGTTAACAGAAGGACAGTCTTATCCTTTAATTAAAACAAAGTACAGTGTGGAATTAGAAATATTTATTCAGAATATAAGAATGTTTGTAAAATATTATAAATGTCTCTGTATAAATAAATGGAGTTTTTTTTAAACAATTCTATATCAAATAACACAAAGTAGCTGTTTTACAGCAGCTAAAACTAAAGGCATCTGGAAACATTTAAAGCATACAAGTGAAGAATCTAAAAATTACAAGGTATAGTACAGTGTTAAGTAGCAACTTTAAAATGAGACTTTCAGTACAAACAGCAGAACAATACTGACAAATGCAAACTTAGTCACATGTGCTTTAATAAGTGGCAGTACATTCAAGCAGGTTTTTCTAATAATTCAAGTGGTATAAAAGCACATTTTCAAATAATAAGAAACTTAAAATCTCATGCAAAGTAAGTAATAGTCTTGACAAGATGTCTACAAACTGATTAGAAATAGGAAAGAAGTGAACATGTTTCATAATCTTTGCATTAGGTTCAAACAAAAGCACATTATTAAGAGTTCTCAATTTACTTGGAGTGCTGACACGAGCACTGTAAGTGAATACTAGGAGTTCTACAAACAGAATATTTTCCCACGTGAATTTGATTAGGAAAAAGTGCAAAAGCAAATGAGAGCAAGAACTATTTAAGCAGGGA